GGAGGGGAGCAAAAGTTATACAGCTGTCCTAAAATATCTGCAAAAGCAGATGAACAGCAATCGGCCTGCAAAAAATGCCATCTTGGCCAAACAAAGTGCCGACCGGCACAAAAAAGTGCTGACCGGCAACAAATAGTGCCGACCGGCAAACTATTTTGCCGGTGGCAGCAAAAACCAGCCGGTGGCATCTAGCCACTGCCGGTGATGGGTGGGGATGGTCTACAAGCCCTACCCTGCCCTTCCAAGGCAAAACACAAGTGTTTGGTGCAAAACCAGACACTAAACGGTCGAGTTCGGGGATCCTGAGGCAGGGCGCGCGAGCCGAGACCTCCAGGAACTCCAAATGAACACAAACATGGATAATCACCGAGTGTTCAAACGGTGACGTCCAAGTCTTGAGGACGGTCAAAAATGGGGTGTCTACAGTCCGAAACCATTGAGGTGTGAATGAGAATTGCCTCATAAAGTGGACATCAATAAACGTTGGGCTTACATTTGGACTTAATCTTAGTTTAGACTAGGCCTAGACTTGTGCTTGTGCTTGTGTATGTATTGGGTTTGGTCTTGGACTTAGACTTGGACTTAATCTTAAGCTTGAGCTAAGTTATGTTGTGTTAGGCTTAGCTTGTGCATGTGTTTGAGAATTGGGTTTGGATCGGGTTGCGACCCAACATTGGTATCCATTGTGTAACTCATCTAGTTGGTTTATTCAGACATCATTATATACATATTTATTTGTATATATTAAGCACATGGGAGGTTAAGACCTTTGTAACTCTCATCTTTTGATGATGAAGTTGATGACCATATTAGTGGCCATAGGTTTTCAACCTTTGTAACTCTAGCCCTAATGGCTAAAATTGATGGCCATGGTTAATGGCATTTGATGAGCCTATTGATGTATAACCTTTATGGCTAAGGATTCCCCTACTTGTATAAATAGAGGTCTTTCCCCTCCAACTTGAAATATATAAGTTGTGAGAGTTTTTTTGATGGAAAATAGAGGTGGTGTTTTGATAAAGAGTTGGAGATGGTTTTTACACCAAAGAAAATTTTCCTATCTTCTTTTGCTAGTCCCTTCTTTGGTTCTTGTTAGAGAGAGTGCAACCATTACCAAGTTCGCCGAAGCTATTCAGAAGGTGCTTCTGCATTAGCTGGTTTTAACCGTCGTATCCTGGGAGACAGAAGTCGACATACCTCCAGCACCCATGGTGAGGCGGCTAATCTGTTTTAAGGACACTATGGTATCACACAGGCTTCGGTTTACTTCTTACTACTAGTTTTATTTTATTATGAATTTCTGTAAATTTTAGTATGTTCTTATTCTGAAATTCAAAGTGGTTGTTCAGAATGAAACTATTTATTTGATTTAAGTACACAATTTCACAACAAACTCAAAACATATTATGTATTTCTCATGGAAAATAAATAAATAGATTCATATGTACTTTATATCTGTAAGTCCACTATTTTCCTGGAAATTCATACTTGTAAATCATGCTTTTTTGACATGTTGATTATTTTCTAGATTTTAGTTTTCGTACATGATTTAATTTTAGAATTATTTACATGTTAATTTCTCAATGATTATTGTTTTGTAACAAGCATATATAATTTTGCCTATTTAAATCTTTGTAACTTGTTTATATTTATGTACATAGTTAAATGTATAAATTAAACTATCAATTTAATTTTTTGGAGTTTTAGTTTTATAATTTTACATGCTTATGGAAGTTACAAATTAGGAGTTTACTGTTTTCTATGCACATGTATTTGCACAGTTTCATTAGGCTGCCTTTGATGACTAGATCTCTAGCATATTTGGATAATCTGATTATATGAGTACTAATTTAGTTTTGTATCTTAGCATGCTCATGATTTGTAACTTTATAATAAAATTTGCATGTTCAAAATTCCTGGATTTTAATTTTTATTACATGCTTATTGTTTCTATAGTTATGTGTATGATATTTACATATTAATTGTCTTTAAAGTTTTAATTTAATTTAGGAGTTACATATTTTAATTTAAAGTTTTAATTTAATTATGGAGTTACAAACTTTATTTTAAAAGTTTCAATTTAATATTTAGAGTTATAAAGTTTGTAATTTGTTTGGGTGAATTAAATTTTGAATTGAATTTATTTATTTGGAGTTATATGTCTAAATGTTTATTGTGAATTAATTTCATTCATCACTCATGGCTATTAACTTTTAAATTAATTGTGAAGTTACATATATTTAGTTATGTAACTCATCTAGCATTTTAATTCATTGATTAATTTGATTATTCAATAGTTGGCTAGATGGTTTCAATTAATTTAGTACATTTACATTTTGTTTAGATTGTTTAGTTTGTATTTTCTTGTGTTTTCTGCTAACTTTCTTTACAGGAATACTTATGCGAAAGGGAATGGAAAAACAAATACAAAACCAAATGAATAATATTTGGGGTGTCAAAACAAAAAGTCTGGACAACTAACCTTTGTGATGAACAGGAATTTCTAAGCGTGGAAAAGATTTTGGACTAAATAGAATCTTGATGGATTGGCTATTTTATTTAAATGGTTGAAGCATTTTTTGCTTGAGATTTAGTTGGTTTGTTTACCAATTTGTAGTAGCAAAATTTATTTGCTTGTATTATTAGAAGCATTTTATATGCATGTATTTGGTTGTAGCAATTTTTAAATTGCTTGTAAGTTTGGAACTTGGCTTGGTTTTCTAGAATAGAAACCAAAGTGTTTAGCTCTGGCTAAAGAGTAGTTCTTATTTGTTCAGAAATGACAACTAAGACGGATTTGGTTTCAAACCTTTGGGGTTTGAGGAAGTCTTTGGGTTTAATCATTTTATTCTCAAAGTATTGAAAAACCAAGTTTGGAGAAAGTCTTTGGTTATAATCTAATTATTTCCAAAGTGTTTTGGTTGGAAAAAGAAACCAAATTTTAGCATTAGCTGAAATATTTTTGAGTTTATTCAGAAATAATAGGCTTAGTTCCGGGAGTACCGGTTAACTTTTATGAGTGGTATAATTCTGGTAGTAAATTTTATTTGCTTGGGAATTGGTTTGTTATAACCTATAACCTAGTTTATTCCCTGGAAAACTTAATTTTAAATTTGTTTCCCATGGACTAAGAGTCAACATGCTTTTGAAAGTTTTGTCAAAAGGTTAATTGGGTTTTAAGTGGGACCGATGTGAGTCTTTCTGGGAACATTCTTGACCATGTTCGATTCTAGGTTAAGTGGTGAGACTAATTTTGAATTAAATTTCCAACTGTGGATTTTCTAGTGTTAAGCTTGTTTTCTGGAAAAACAGAATAGTGAAATTTTGTTGTAACTTTTCAGAAATGGCTTCAAGAGGTGACAACAGAAATGTTGTTTCACCTGTCAACCTTAAAGCCTTGCGAGGTTCTTAGAAGAAGATCTAGAGAGATCAAGTGTGAGTAAAGGAAATCATAAGATTGCATGATAACATTTCTGAATTAATCAAAGGCAATTAGTATGTTATCCTTGTGTCAATTTTTAAATTCCAAATATATTCTTAAATTGGTGGCTCCTAGTGTGGTTCCTAGGAGGTGTTAAACCACTAGCTACACAGTTATGAGATTGTGGTTCCTAGTAGTAGAGAGGCTACTGATCATATGTCAAGACATGCTGATTCCGAGTAATGAAAGAGTCTATTGATCTATGTAGGACGTTGTGATTCCTAGTAGTAAAGTGACTACTGATCACAAGTTAAGACATTGTGATTCCTAGTAGTAAGAAAGTCTACTTACCACATACTGAGAAATTAGTGATTCCTAATGATAAGACTACTGGCCATGTTATGAAGTTCCGAATAGTAGACTATAGAACACTGGATTTGTGTTTCCTAGTAGTAAGACTATGGGCTTCAGAGTGATAGGTTGGACCAAATATGTTTAGGTGCCTAATTCGGTTGATGACAGTCTGAGAATGTATTTACTGTGATATGATTTTAAGAGTTTCATAATCATTGTGACACAAGGAATTGTTTAAAGACCCTGTATGAATTTTCGGAAAAGGCCAAAAGCCTTTGTATAAATTCTACAAATGTGGGGGTGTCATGCAAAAGGTGGGAATACCTAAACCCAAGAGGGTTAGGATAAGCCTAAAAATCCGTTGACTTTATATTCAACGGTTGTGCACAATATAGCAGTGCATATCGATTTCTTGTGGTTCAGTCTGCTATTCCAGATATACACAAGAATACTATCATGGAATCAAGAAATGCATCTTTCTTTGAAAATGTATTCTGAGTTCCATGAAAGAAATTGAAAGTGACAATGATCACATAGCTGATCAAACAGATGATCACTTAGATGATCAAATTGAGGATTTAAATGAGCCGAGAAGGAGTAAGAGGGCTAGGACTACCAAGTCCTTTGGCCCGAACTTCTTGACTTATATGTTTCATAATCATTAAAGCCATGTTACTATATATCAAAGCAACATTTTGTTCTTTTAACAAAAAAACGGGAGGTATGAGGGAGTTTTGCAAGGATTGAATTTTTTTTTTTTTTTTTTTTTTGTCATTTTGACAAAAAAAAACAAAAGGTGTGAGAAACTTGTGGCCAAATCTCCCAATAATATACACGTAGGCATAATAAAAAATATGGGACCTTCATTAGAATGGGCCCAAGGCAACATGGCTTTAATGACCTTGCACTTGGGCCGGCCCTGGTGAAGGGGTTGGAGAGAGGGGGATCGTTGTGGTGAAGAGATTAGGGAGAGAGGGTCACATTGGTGAGGGTGTTGATAGGATAGAGGTAATTTTGTTACGAAGTGAGGTGTCAAAAGATCTTTTGGGGGATCAAGGAAATGGGAGTCCACATAATTTTTGTGGGTTAAGCTCGCACACACTTGCTAAATACAAATAACTAGATATGATTTTCCATTACGTCCTGGAGGTCTCTGGCTCAGCAGCCTAACCTCGTTTGTCAAATTGTCTCGTCACCCTATCATTTGGTAAACTAACTGGCATCACACACATTCTTTTAGACAGATTATACCCCCCAGCCCCCTCCTATATTTTTGAGGGATGAGGGGAGGGAGGAGATTCTTTTTACCACTATTCTTTTTTTCATTTTTTGTTTTCTTATCAAAGGTGCTAATTTACAACTTCCAAGCCCACCTCAACTCACCAGACCATGAGCTTGAGCATGAGCATGAACATGACAATAGTATCACAATCTCCAAGAAGTGTGCAATTCAATGCCTGCTTCTTAGGATCCAGCACTACTCAGAGGATACACGTACACCCACATCCATATCCCATATGTGAGTGTAGGGGTGAGGGTGGTACATCATGGTCATCATCGCAGTCAGTGCAATTTCATGACAGAAGTACAGAGAGGAGGAGACATTCTATGTTTATCAGTCCAAAACCAAAACCCATCATTGAAGATGGAGTTCTCAGCATTAATGGCAAGGATGTACTGACTGCAGTTCCAGATAATGTCATTCTCACCCCATGGACTGATTCAGCAGCATTTTTGGGTGCCACTGCCACCACCACCAATAGGCATAGGCATAGGCATAGCTATTCCCGACACGTTTTCAAGCTCGGTGTCATTCAGTAAGCTCTTTATTATATTGTTAGCTTTTCACATTCAATTTCCCTTAATTTTCCCATATGTATATGTATGTATATAGATTAATCATAATAGGCTTGGACCTTAACTCACAATGGACTGCAATGTTCATCTGCAAGATTTATTTTGGTTTGTGCTTGCTTCAATCAAATATGTACAAATACTCCAATGTTATGGTTTATTATGAAAGTTGTACACCATTTAAAATCAGGGAATAGAAACCACAAAATAGAATTTATAACCCAAAAAATGAAATTCATTCAATGACTTGGAGATGATCCATTTTCTACTCAAACATGCCCCGTGAAAGATGCATGCTAATGCCGCAGTACCATTTTACAAGGGGGAGTTCAGAGTTCTTCAAAATTCTACTTATGCGTCCATCATTCTCTAAAGAAAAAGTCTAGGAACACATAAACCGATCATATAACCAGATACAACCATCTCACATGAGGAGGGTCCCACACCCATGTGAGAGAGTTGCGTCACTAGTGCATATATAGTTGCAGCAAAAGTAATGGGAAAGATGTGTTTGGTGGTTGATACAGGGATGCCAGATTGCTATGTTTGTTTAGAGTTAAGCTTTGGTGGATGATACCTCGGGTGGGAAATTCAGCAAGTGACATTCCTGTTGAAACCCAGATGTTGTTGATGGAATCAAAGGAAGCACCAACTTCTAATCAACCTAAAGGATCTATCTCTTATATTGTTTTCTTGCCATTCTTAGATGGTGAATTCAGAAGCAGTTTGCAGGGAAACTCTGCCAATGAACTTCAATTTTGTGTTGAAAGTGGTAAGAATTTTTTTTCTTAAAAAAAATTATTCAGTAAATCCATTTATTCCATTGTGTGGATATGACCTATCCAAAATTCAACCACAATTCAATATAGAAGATAAACCTTGCGCGAAGCACTACCAAAAACCATATCTATATTCTGTATATCTAGTGTGTGTGGTAACAGTCTGTTCCAAGTTACTGACACTCTTCTCATTTGCTTTCTCTTTAATTGACATGGGCTGCCTATCAATTCTATAGGTGACCCTGCTGTTGTTGCATCAGAGTCTCTAAAAGCAGTTTTTGTGAATTATGGAAACAATCCATTTGATCTGATGACGGAATCTATGAAGTAGGTGGCCCATCTTAGTGACTTTTAGATAATTACATAGTTTATAAGTTGCTGTTGTAGTATGGCAGCTAAAATTCACAAGTTGGGATTCTCTGCAATAATCCTAGCTTGCAACAATATTGCAATGTTAGTTTAGGAGCCCAAAACATAATCGTTAGATGTTTAAGAGTGGTTTAATCTTGCAGTGATTGTGTTTTGAGCTCCTAAACTAACATTGCAAGATTATTGCAATTTAGAATTATTTTAGAGAATCCCAACTCAAAATTCACAGGGGGTCCAAGCAGCTCGCTTGGATCTGAGTTCAATTGACAATACATATGCAACTCCCACAGCCAACTTCTTGGGATTCCAATGCGTGTAGCAGCAGGATACTAGACAATTGACATTTTTATAAAAACAAAAATGGTAATGAAAATATGCAGGATTTTGGAGAAGTACAGTGGGACCTTTACTGTCCGGGAAAGAAAACAGGCAAGTCAGCCTACGAATTAAAATTTACTGAGCCTGCTCAATCTGGTCTTAGTAAATTGATTGAAAGCTCTGTTGTTGCTTTCTTATGCAGATGCCTGGAATGCTCGATTGGTTTGGTTGGTGCACTTGGGATGCTTTCTATACAGACGTAAATCCACAAGGAATCAAAGATGGCCTGAAAAGGTTAATATAAAACCTTGTATAATGATATCATTTTGCTTCCATTAACTTTCTGCAAGTTTGTCTTTCGTTGCTTTTGCTCTAAACAAAAAAAATGTTTTGTATTTTTGAATAATTATTACTATATGAATGCACAGCTTTTATGGGCACTGTATGCTTAACTCTATCTCCCTCACAACCACAGCTTATCCGAGGGAGGCACTCCAGCAAAATTTTTGATAATTGATGATGGGTGGCAAGATACATCTAATGAGTTCCAGAAAGAAGGGGAGCCTATAGAAGAAGGGTCACAGTAAGTTCGTACATGCCTTTTCTTGATCAATAGAAAGCAAAGCATATATATATATATATATATGTATGTACCCTCTGATTGCATTGCTCAAAACTGCAGGTATGGTGGCCGATTAGTCAGCATACAAGAAAACTATAAGTTCCAGAAAACAACAAATGAAGCTCCAAGTGAAGCACCTACCAATCTTAAAGAATTTGTTTCCGACATAAAGAGAAATTTTGGCCTCAAGTATGTTCTCTTTAGTTTCATCTCCCTCCCCTCCTCCTGTTTCCAGTAGGTGAAATATAACCTAAATTTTTTCCTGCATTTCTCACCTTTTCCATCCCCCTTCCAAATCCCTATCCAAACCCATGATCCAAACACGGCCTCAATGATCTTCCGGACAAAAGTATTAATCTCATCGTTTATATTGCCAACATTAAATAAGTGAATTAATATCTGTGATTTGGTTTTCATTTCATCAGGTATGTCTATGTGTGGCATGCGCTAATGGGATACTGGGGTGGACTTCACCCGGATGCTCCTGGGACCAAAAAGTACAATCCAAAATTAAAATTTCCAGTGCAGTCACCGGGGAATCTTGCACATTTAAGAGATATAGCAATGGATTGTATGGAGAAGTATGGTGTTGGTACAATTGATCCAGACAAAATATTTGAATTTTATGATGATCTACATAAATATCTTGTCTCACAGGAGGTGGATGGGGTTAAGGTTGATGCACAGAACATATTGGAAACCATAGCAACTGGGTTAGGAGGCCGAGTCACTTTAACTAGACATTTTCAACAGGCACTTGAGAAGTCCATAGCCACCAATTTCCAAGACAATAGCATAATCTGCTGCATGGGACAGAACACAGATTCCGTTTACAAGTAAGAATATGCACACAATCTCCTCTACTGTATCTCAATACGTACCTAGTATCAGTTTAAATAATTTAGAAAACATATAAATGTTAAGAATCAATTAATCTGTTTAGATATTTAAAATAACCAAACAATTTGTACTCTTTTAGGTATTGGGAAAATTAAATGTGCCTGCCAATTCAGAATAAATTGAAATTTATTTTTACATTCATGTGTAGCATCTTTGCATACCACAATAATTTAGATATGATAGTGCCCAACATGTTAATGCCTCCTAGTTTGAAATATTTATCCTGCTCAAGATTTCACAATTATATGTAATAGTGCTTTTGTTTGTAATTTGGTGTCGCAGCACAAAAAGAAGTGTCATTACACGTGCATCTGATGACTACTATCCGAAAAATCCAACAACACAAACACTGCACATAGCTGCTGTGGCTTATAACAGCATGTTGTTTGGTGAAATTTTTGTCCCGGATTGGGACATGTTTTATGTACGTATGATATGGCCTCTTTTTTTTTTTTGTTTATTACTAGACTTTCTTTCTCTTTTGTTTTTTGGCTTTTTGTTTTAACATTTGTGCAATTTCCTTTAACATTTTTTAGAGCCGCCATAATGCAGCTGAGTTTCATGCAGTTGCCAGAGCAGTTGGAGGATGTGGAGTCTATGTTAGGTAAGTTTATTTTAAATGTGAATCTGATGACATATCAAACCTTAACTTTCCTCGGAAACAGAAAATATGGAAATCCAAAGGTGAAAGAAAACATATTGAAATTAAAAGAAGCATGGATTGGATTTAGCTCCCTGATCTTACCTTGTACAGGAGAAAACTACCCCTTTCTTTGACCAGTATTATTTTGTACAAGGAATTGGTTGGCCTGAGCAGTCATCTTAAGATTTTGTGATTTCATTCCATAGTTATTTTTAATCACTCTACTACCCAAAATCACTTCTTTACTTACCCAACTTATCATAATTTTTCTTAGCATATAGCTTTCATCTTTTGAGACTTGCAAGTAGCGTGTTATGTTCTTGGTGATCCAATTGTCCTTTAATTTCAAATGGGAGATCCAATTGTCCTTTAGTTTTAAACATTTGGATCCAACAGTATAACTGATTTCCTGAATTTTTAGCATAGCCTCTAAGTATGTGGTTTATTGTGCTATTATTATCATTAGAAGCATATATCTTGAAGAGAAGGACCAAGTCTATGGATTAATCTTGTAGTCTGTTTTAAGCATCAATAATCTTTCATTGTCCTTGATTACATTGCCAATTCCAATAACAAGAATTATTCGATCGTTCTACAATTTCTACATTTCACTGTTTTTTTTTTTCTCCATGTTATGCCCTTGGAACTTATGGTTTTGCCAAGGAATTCAATTATGAATCGTTTTTTCAAAAATTCTTCTTTTTTCCCGTATCCCTCTTTTCCTTCACTTTCTGCAGAAAAGGTTAAAAAAAAAAAAAAAAAAAAACACTTCCTTCTTAATAATATGTTGAGTATATCACTGCTGATATAACAGTGACAAACCCGGGCAGCATGATTTCAAGATACTGAAAAGGCTTGTACTTCCTAATGGATCATTGCTGAGAGCTAAATACCATGGGAGGCCGTCCCGAGATTGTTTATTCAACGATCCAGTAATGGATGGAAAGAGGTATTTCCTAACCAGCTATACTATATATAGTTGTGTACCCTTCTTTTATTTATTTATTTGTTTATTTTTGTGTCTGTGTTTTCCTCTCAACATCTCATATGTTTGCTTTTCTCACGGTTAGTCTTCTGAAGATTTGGAATCTTAACAAATATACTGGAGTTATTGGCATCTTCAATTGCCAAGGAGCGGGAAGCTGGCCGCGTCTAGACAATCATGTTCAGAAGGATGTTAGTCCTAATCTATCTGGACACGTATCTCCTGCTGATATCGAGTTTTTTGAAGAGGTTTGCGGGAAGTCATGGACAGGAGATTGTGCAGTATTCTCTTCCATCACAGGTATAACTATTTTTTTTTTTTTTTTAAGTGCAACAATGCAGCTATAGAAATGTTTTAATGTTTGATTTATGGGTTTTTAAGATTGGACTAAATATGTGTAATTCTATTAGATTGATCTTCTTCGACATTGTTTTTATGTTTTGGTCTAATTTCAGGGTCTCTGTCTCGATTATCAGAGCAACAATCATTTGCAGTAACACTAAAAATCTTGCAGTGTGATGTATTTACTGTATCTCCTATCAAGGTTAGGTTGGCTAGTCATGTCTGTAGTTGTACCTCACTTTCCTGACCTGATAAAATTCATAATATGTAAAGTTCCTCATGCGAAAATGAATTCTCTTGTGATTTTTACAGGTTTACAATCAAAAGATTCATTTTGCGCCTCTTGGATTGATAGACATGTATAATTCTGGAGGAGCTATTGAGGCAATGGAATTTTCTGAAGATTTGTCCGCTTGTAGAATCAGTATCAAAGGAAGAGGGGCGGGTCGTTTTGGAGCATATTCCAATCAAAAACCAAAATTTTGCTACGTGAATTCAAGAGAAGAGGGGTTCGATTTCAGAAGCGAAGACAATCTTTTGACTACAATAATTCCACATGAGGCGAATTCTTGGAACATTACCATTGGTTATTGAGGCCTTATTGTTTCAATGATGTCAGTGCCAATGATATCTCCCCCCCCAGTCCCCATGTAACATGGCATCTACTGTTCGAGGGAGGGACAATGCATCTTTTGTGGTGAAGCAGTGTCCTCTGTTGGCCGAATAATACAGTCACTTTTACAAATTCACAATAAACTGAAAGCATGGGAAAGTTTATTGTATATTTTTACAGCTGATGTAGTAAGCAAACATGAATTACATTTTTAGATAGGAACACCATTTTAAATGGATATCTCTATACTAATTACATATGCGAGCACATGATTTAGTATCTAATAGTGTGGTGGCTTCTCCTTTCACGTGACAAACTTTTCTATCCTAAAATAAAAAAATATTATTTGAAGGCGTGAGTAAGATTTGAACATTTGAACTCAAGAACTTAGGTTTCATTAAGAACACTCTTACCATTTAGACAACATACATATTATTATATCAATTTCTTTATTATTTATTTTTATACTTATTTATCTAAATTGCACACGCATTGCGTGTGCCACCCATACCTGAAGTGTTGGCACACAGGATTGAAACAATTAGATTGGCTGTTTGCTTTATAATAGCATAGATAGATAGATATATGGATGAGCATGCATCCTAACTTAGGGAGTTTGTTACTAGTGGGCTTAGTGTGTGAGGGACATTTGGCATCTTGAAAGGAAGTCCTAGAATGTGGGTGTGGTGGTTGCAAACCACCATTAGTGGTAGGAGACTTGTCAAGAGGGCTTCAAAACCATGAATTAACATGGTTCCAAACAGTTGAGACATGTGGCAACCCTTGATTGAAAGAGTCGGTCACTACCCGACAATTATGAATCATCGGTTAGTGGCTAACCCAAGAGTTAACTATCATGGGGCCAATAAATAAATTATGTGAAGATGGGATTCTTTCAAATTCAATACACAATTTACTTGGACTACTTTTATACCCGTTCCGTACTGATCAATAAGTTTTCTTAAGTTTAGTAGTTCGTTTCCACTTGTATTTCCATTCCTTAATGGTAATGCTTGTTAGCTTCAGTCTTAATGCATAAATGTTTTACTTTTAATTTTAAGCCCAGTGTTTCCTTTTCATTTCAGTTCACACACACTTGGGGAAGTGTTGAAGTTCACTGAATTATGGCAACAAACGAACAGGTGGTTTGGCCCTTGAAGCCACACATGGTGTATTGATTAGAAGTCAGTCTGCAATTACACATTGGATCAGGTCACAAGTCTTGGCGCACCCGCACAATCAGAAATCTCCGTAAGGAGTTGTTGCAGCAGTGACATCTTGGTGCCAATAGGTTCTTGGAATCTTAGTCGTACCCTTCTCGTTTATGAGTCCTCGACTTCCATCCCTTACATTTGGTTCAATGCTTGGGTTGGGCCAACAAAATGACATCATGAACCAGTCTGGATGGTAGAACTGGGTTGGTCTCCAACTGGTTCAAGTTGTTCCAGTATTCTTTCTTTTCTAAGCAAAATGTTCATATGGTGCAATCTAAAATCTTAAATGAACTGGGTGAGTTTGGATTGGATTAGGCGGTGTTTGCCATTCCTATATGTTGAGGTGATCACAATTCAAGCTACAGAATAATCTCTTATGAAACTCAAAAGTTTTACCATTTCTCTTTTGGCATTTTATAACTTGTTCTTCAAATGTACATGGCATTTACAGTTTGGTGCCAGCACAATGGGCCCTATGAATGGAGGTAACAGTCTTAACAACAATCCTAGCCTGGCGGCCTCTAAGCAACGGTTGCATTGGATACATGAGCTTCACGAACGCTTCCTTCATGCTGTAGCACAGTTGGGTGGCCCAGATCGTGAGTCATCTTGATCTTAATCTTAATCTTAAATGAGGAAAAATAAATAGATGAAGACAAAAAGGATAAGAACATAATTTGTAACCAAACATGCTAAGCAAAATTTGTAACCAAACATGTTTTTAGAAATTTTCTTCCAAAAACATGTTTCAAAACACAAACCAAACACACCAATGTTTCCTTATGTTCAACTTCTTTCTTTTCATTTAGAGTTCTTCTCATAACAAGAAGTATTTGTTGGATGACTGTTCACGGCCATTCTATGACAACTTAAACAACTGAATGTCAAAAATGCATTTATTTTTAAATGTGACGAATCCATATATCTAGATTTTGGTTTCAGCTCAATTGGGCAAAACTGATTTTTGAATCACTTTTCAGCAACTGGGTGATTTTAATTGAAAATTTATACAATTTTTACTGTTATTTTTAAAGAGATTATTTTCATGACTTGAAAGGGCTTACACCAAAGGTGTAGTTAAGAGTATAAAACCAACAAGGTGTAGTCAAGAGTAACGGATTTACAAGGTCAAACGATTTACCACTTCAAGAACCATCTACAAGCATGTATTGTTTCATTCTGTCCCACAGATTTTCTTCAGGATCTTTTTTCCACCCAAAAAATAAAAAATTAATTGTCTTCTTTGTGACTTACAGTAGTTATGTTATGCTTTCTAATTTGGATTGTTCATCATAAGTAAATTAGCAAATTGACCATAGTTGTATATAACTATATGTTTGTGAACATTTCCGCATGCAAAAGGGGTGGTCAAATGTTCCTGCCCAAAAATGTGTTTGGATCCCATAATTTTCAGAGTGAATAATTCGGCAATTTAATCAGCCTTTTATGAAATGGTCTAAAAAAATACTCCCCCATTTTTTTGGTCCACCTTTCCATTTTAGCCTGTCCTAAAATGTTTGTCCACTTTCTATTTTTGGATACTAAATTTTGTTAGATTTTCAAAATTTCTCATTATAAATCATTATAAACACATTTTAAAATTCAAATAGAAGGGCAATGGAGAAAAAATATTCAAAATTTGAATTATACTATAATGATTGCATGTCTCCTCAATAAAAAATTTCTATGATGGACAAATAAATTGGCACAGAGGGAATACTCTAATGTACAGTTGAGAAGTCTAAATAATGAAGCATTATGAAGCAGATAATGAAGCATGATGAAGCTGACAAGATTACATAATGAAGCATTTAGTTATGCTCATGCAGCTTGCTATTTGAGAAGTGTTCTCATCTCTGTTGGGAAACAGTAGACTGAGAAGCACTCCAGCTGCAGTAGGAGGAGTACTTGAAGAAGATATAACTGAAGAGCAACGACGACTCGGTGGTCTTCTGCCCCAGCAACAGGTGCCTAACTACCCAAGAATCCACCCAAATTTCTGAGTCCCGCTTACTGGAAAAGACTCGTGCCCCAGCCAAGCGCTTTTCTGTTGATGAGCCACCTACTATGGATTCCAATAGCCATGGCAGTATGCCATCTGAAAGCCCAAAAGAGAAACACAAAACCCTCTGTCCTTCATCACTCCAAATCCTCCCCCACCCTCGCCCTCCTCTACCTCAGACCCTTTCCATCACTTCCCACACCACTTCCACTTTTTAAATGTCCCTTCCGACAAAAAGAGATTTGCTTGGCTTTTTGCTTAATTTTGAAATGCAAAGAGTCGGAAATCTGTAGACAGCTAGTTAGTTGACTCAACATATGGAGCTGTATAAAGTAAATATGGATTCATAGGAATATATATTTCTATATAGTGCAAGTACAATGGTTTCGGTACCTACATCCAAGTTTAGATGTAGGACATCTAGATGAGTATGTGTATTGAGTGTATTATGCTTTATATATGCTCTTATTGATGTATTATGTATGTAAGTACGTACATTCATATAGGCATAGTAATCATGTTTTTGGTTTCTTTAAAACATGTACATGCAGGTACAAACATATGTATAAGCATACATATGGGAATTTGAGGCAAACTTGGTTCACACTTGAACTAAATTTCAATTCCAAGACATGGATTCTGCACCCACTTGACATGAGAGAGAGAGAGAGAGAGAGTTCATTAACCTGTGAATTTAGAAAACACATGACAGCTGAACAATGCCCTAAAATCAAAATCAGATCATAACCCATGCTTGCATACTGTGTAACAGAGATAAATGATACAAGGACATGATGGAAGACTTGAAAAATAGCACAAAAGTAATGAAACAGTTACAGCTACATACAGTACTGTTGCAAGAAGCTATCTACCTACAGTACAGAATTAGTCATGAAGAGCGATGCCTCCTATGGTTAACTTGCCTCAAAATGCAAAGACGAAGACGTTGGCTAAGGGCTTCTAGTTTTTCAAATTTATCACGTTTTGGCTTCTTTGAATCTGTAAGAGCTATCTTTTTCTTCTTCTTTGTCTTCTTCATACTTTCCTCTTGTGACAGGTCTGACGGTTTAAGTGGAACTTTTCGAAGAGGTGTGGCAAGCACTTTTACAGTTGTCTAGAAATGATAAAAGAAGTCGCTTATTAAGGAGTATAAGATCAGAAATGAAGTAAACAGATCAATAATACAGATTACTTAACTACAAAATATATATATATATAATTCAAGTGCAAGCCATCAGGCAAGCTAGTATTAATTTAGTTTTGCTAACAGTGTGCCTGAAACATGCTAGCTACCTGTAATACTTATGAGCAAAAGTTAGGGTAATGTCCAGCCAAGATCCAGCAATTGGTAGAACCGTTTATGGTCAGGAGGGTATAGTATACAGAAATCAAAACTGTAAAGGGATGGTGCAGAAAATATGATGGTTTTTGCTTTGTTGGGTTTTGGGGATGGGGGGGAGGGGCATCCAATTTTCGGGGTGAAGAATGCATTTTGGTTTCAATAATTCCAGATGCTTTTAATAAGCTGGAGTGAGGGAACACAATTCATGATTAAGGGTTCAATTTTTTATTTTTTATTTTTTTAATTATTAATTTTTTTTTTAACCAGCCTGGAAGACCAACTCAAGTGGGAAGGTAGAAGATTCTGCCTAACATCCAAGGCATGTTGTAAGTGATTAAAGCTCCGTTTGTTTCGCCGTAAAATATTTTTCATGTAAAATGATTTTGTCCAAAAATACATTTTATTTTTGTTTTCCACAGCAAAAATCTTAATAAGGAACCAATTATAGAGTAAATTCTAAAAATAAAAAGGATAAAAGATAAATGATATTCATATATAATTTTTATGTAGAATTAAACACAAATGATGTGGCAATGTCATTCTTACAATTATGGACTATAGTAATGAGAATTTTAACAACTTTCAATAAGCAAATATGAATGTCACACATCATTATATATAATAATTTTTTTTTTTTTTTTGATAAGTAATCATTATATATAAATTTTGTGTATACAAATTCTGTTTTTATATCATTACTAAAAAATAAAATAAGACAATGATTAAATGTAACAAAAATAAAAATTCCAAAACCTAATTCCGATCAATTGCTCAATCATAATATGTATATGTATAGGTATATATATATGGAGAGAGAGAGAGAGAGAGAGAGAGCGCGCACGCAAAAACGTTCAATGTGTATGAAAGTAATGAAACTTGATATGTAAGTAGTATCAACTGTGAAGAGTAAAAAAAATAACTTGTGGAATTATTAAACGTAAATCATTTCACACTACATGATGTAAAATATTTTACTTATTTTCTGGCCAACCAAACAACGAAAATTAGGTAAAATATTTTACAGCAAAACAAACAAAGCCTAAAAGAAAAATAAGGAATAAAACATTACAAGCAACTCTGTGCAAAGGTGTGTGTGTGTGTGTGTGTGCGCGCGCGCGCGCGTGTGTGTGTGTGTGAGAGAGAGAGAGAGAGGACCTCGTGGTTGTTATCTGATGATTGTTCATCATCGCTCCCCAAAGATGAGCATCTTCCCCAACTCTCTCTGTTTGAGCTTGTATACGAGCAACATTCGTCATTCTGGCCAATTTGCTTATCCTGAGACAAGAAATGAAGAACTCCCATAAAAACATCTTATTGAACAACAAAATTTACTCAAAAATTCAAGTTTTGGCATGGGCTATGTTTCCAGCCCAAGACCCATCTGTAGCAGTAAACATCAGAGGTAGATGAGTATCGAAACAGGCAGAAACAATTTTAATATTGCATTAAACTAAAACAAAAGTGTAGGACTTTAGACGAAGGAGTCAGTTTGGTTTTCATTTTCAATGTTCCATTTTTCATTTTTGCTTTTTATGTTTTCACAAATAAAAACAATGAATAGTTCAGAAACACAGAATTTTCATAGATTTTTTTTTTTTTTGGATAAATACAGAATTTTCAAAGATTTAGAAGGGGTTAATTACATTTTATCCCCCTCAGTTCGGCTCAAAAACATATAAGCCCCTTGTGGTTAATATATATATATATATATAACCTCTCTATAGTTGGGATTAAAATGCAAAAGGGAAATTCTATTTGTACACCAGCACATCACTCAGCAGTACACACCATTTGGTAATTTTTTTTAGGGGAAAATTCACTTTATTCCCTTGAGGTTTCGCCTTGGAGAACTTTACCTCCCTATAGTTCAAATATAAGCAGAGACCTCCTCCCTTATGGTTTTGAACAAAGTGCTATTGTTAGTTTTTCCGTTAAATATAACGGAAGGTGTGTCACACTCTCAAATTGAGAGTGGACAATGCAAAAGTCCCAAGTCAAAGTCAAAAATTGAATCAAATGTCAATAATACCCTCATATTCATCTTATTCTCCAAATTAAATCTTAATCCTACCCTAACCCTAACCCTAACCCTAATTGTCATCCTTTATCAACAATTTAATTTAATTTAAAATGTTATTAAATGAGAAATTGAGTTAAAAATTAAATAGTAGAATAATGTAATTTTATTTTAATAAATTAGAGTAACTAGGTTAATTTATGGTTTAATTTAATATAACCAAATCAAACCAAGCCTTAAGTCCCATCAGATGAGGTCGGCTACATGAATCCTTCTTCTCCACGCGGCCCTATCAAAAGCCATTTCGTTAGTCAAATTAAGTAGATCCATATCTCTATTTACAACGCTAACCAACGTTAATATAGGCCTATCCCATCCCCTAACATTTCCATCTACCGTTACAACATCGCATCTCTTCACTACTGTCTCTGTTGGTCTCCTTTGAATATGACCAAACCATCTCAATCAATTCTCTCTCAGCTTATCTTCTATCAATACTACTCATATCCATTCCCGAATACACTAATTCCTAATTCTGTCTTGTCTAGACTTGCCACACATCCACCTTAGTATTCTCGTCTCAACCACACTTATCTTATCGACATGTTGTTTCTTGGTTGCCCAACACTCCGTCCCATACAACATCACTGATCTAATAGCCATTCTATAGAACTTACCTTTAAGTCTAGTGGGTATTCGTCTATCGCACAGTATCCCAGACGCACTTCTCTACTTATACCATCACACTTTAATCATATGGGCTACATCCGCATCAATCTCCCCCGCTGTTGTGATAATACATCCTAAATAACAAAAATGTTCACTCTTAGGCAGTTTTTGGTTCTCAATCTTCACTTCTCCTCTGTTTTCATTGTTACTGTTACTAAATTTACACTCCGTGTATTCTGCCTTAGTTCTGCTTATCCGAAATCTTTTAGATTCAAGAGCTTTCTCCAAATCTTCAACTTTGTATTAACTCCTTCTCTTGTCTCATCTACTAGTACTATATCGTCTGCAAAAAGCATACACCATTGCACATCATTCTGGATATTTCTCGTCAACTCATCCATAACTAAAGCAAAAAGAAAAGAACTTAAGGTAGATCATTGGTGTAACCCTACAGTGATAGGACTTATGGTTTAATTTAATATATATATATATATATATGTAAATGTTTAATTTAAAATTTTATTAAATAATAAATTGGGGTAATTTTATGGTAATAAATTAAGGTATTTAGGTTAATTTATGATTCAAGTTGTTAAATATATATTTATATGTTTAATTTAAAATGTTATTAAATAAGGTAATTTTATAATTAGGGTGTTTAGTTTAATTTATGATTTAATTTATTAAGGCCTCGTTTGGGAACAGGCTAATTTAGTAACTTTTTGGCTATTTGGCTAAAAAAGTAGATAAAAAAAACTTATATGTTTGGGATGACTTTTTGGCTAATTACGAAAAGATGTGCAAAAAGTAGAGAGAAAAGAGAATCTTTGACTTTTTTGTATGAGTTGTTGACTTTTTGGCTAAAAAGGTAACTTTTTGGCTTTTTGGCTAAAAAGGTAAGTCTCCAAACGGGGCCTAAATATATATATATTCATATGTTCAATAAAAAATGGTACTAAATAAGGTAGTTTTATGGTGAAAAATTAGGTATTTAGTTTAATTTATGATTTAATTAGTTATATATATGCTTATTTTAAAATTTTATTAAATAAGAAATTAGATTAAAAATTAAAAATTAAAAATTAAAAATTAGATTAAGATAATTTTATGGTAATAAATTAAGATGTTTAGGTTACTGTTTAATGTAAAATGCTATTAAATAAGAAATTGGATTACAAATTAAAAATTAAAAATTAGATTAAGGTAATTTTATGGTACTAAATTAGGGTGTTTAGTTTCGTTATTTAGGATTGATTATCACAACAGCTAGGGAGATTGTATCGGATGTAGTCCATAGAATTAAGGCGGGGTCACTTAAGTGGTGGAATGCGTTTGAGGTACTGTGCGATAAACAAGTACATATTAGATTAAAATGAAAGTTCTATAGAATGACTATTAGACCAATCACGGTTTCGGTTACTGTGCGATAAACGAGTACATATTAGATTAAAAGGAAAGTTCTATAGAACGACTATTAGACCAACCACGGTTTCAGTTACTGTGCGATAAACGAGTACCTACTAGATTAAAAGAAAAGAACTATGCGTATCAGTAAGTTTTTTTCAAATTGTGTGAAAAATTAAAAAAATCACAATTTCGGTTACCGTAACTATTACACTACGACCTTTACATCCCGCGAGTGCAACTGCGCCACTACAATCGCTTTTGGAAACCTTGCCACCGCCACTAAGGAGGATAGCGTTCAGGTAACCATTGACAATTTTGATGCTCAATTTCTCGAAAGAGGAGAAAGAAGAGAACGAGGATGGAGGGAGGTTGGGGAGGGGGCTGTGACAAGAGGTTTGCAATGGGAAGGGGAGGCGGTTGGGGATGGGGTGGCGGCCAGTAGCGGTGGTTGTTGAAAATAAGAATTAAAATGTTGGATATAGGAATTAGAATATTTCTATTTTTGGTAGATTGTATAAAATCCGTAATTGTATGAATCACGGATTTAGAGCCTTGTTTATATTGTTTCCTAAATTGTATCATGAATATATTATATATACATGGCCTCTACCTCATTCATAGGTAAGCCAATACCATTCTTTTCATTTTTCTTGGTATCAGAGCCAAACCCTAGCCACCCTCTCTCTCTCTCTCTCTCGATAGTTTACAGCCACACCCACCACTCCAACAGCCCTTTCCTCCCTTACCCATCCACTGACAACCCTTTCTCTTCCCTCTACATTAGCTAACAATCCTTTCTCTCCCCTTCCAGCACCTCTATAGCTCTCTCCACCTATTGTCAAGGGTTCTTTGAGTGCCAACTAGACCCCTGCTGTATTGGGTCTAGTTCGATAGCCCTTTTAGGGTAGTGTGAACCTCTTTTTACCCTTGTAGGGTTCTTATTTTAATGTAATAAGCACTTTTTTGTGTTTACTTTGCTCATTGGGCTACCGGGTTTGTTCGGTAGCATTTATTTCAATAAACCGTTAAGTTTTTTTCGGCTTCTTGCAATGTTTCGGACTGTTTTGCTGTGATTCTGTGTTTTTCAGCCCCTATTATTCCACCATGACTGAACCATATCTTCTTGTCTCTTTTGATGTACCCACAAAACCTGTCCTAGTTAATTCTAATTTTTCTCTCTCACCATACTCCTATTCATCATATTACGAGTGTGGTGTTGAATAGGAAATATTTTGCCTCATGGAACAACTCCCTTAAACTCTATTTAGAGGGAAAGGGGAAGGCCCATTGGCTTTACCTTCTACCACCTAGACAGTTGCGACAGACCCTACCTATGCCCAGTGGGATATTAATAATTGTACTATCTTCGGATGGATGTTCAACTCCGTGGAGATGGTAAACCACATGTTCCTTTATTGCGGCATAGTTTTGATTCTATGGCGTGTCTTGTCACAGATATATACTTATGCTCATAATGATGCTCGCATTTTTAAGCTCTATCAGGATATTGCTCGTGCCTTCCAATCTACTTTGGGACTTTCTATGGCAGGGTTCTTCAGATCTTTTCAAGCTCGTTGGGAAGAGTTGGCTCAATATGAGCCCTTAACTGAGTTACTAGCAGATGCTGCCTCTTCTGTCCACATGCCTTGCTCGCCAGCACACTTAATAATTTTTGATGGGTTTAAACTCTGAGTTTGAATCTCTTGGAACCCATATTTTAAACACATCACCCATGCTATCCCTCTACGAGGCCTTTGCCACCATTGATAGTGATGAGCGTTGTAAGCATTTGGTTTAGCCGAGCCCTCCTACCGTGTCTACAATTTCATCTAATCAGATGGCTCTTGCTGCAAAGTCTGGTTCTCGAGGTTCTACTAGTTCAGTTACTTGTCATCATTGTGGTGCTTCTAATCATGTTAAGGCTCGTTGCTTCAAAATTAATCCTAAATTGAGGCAACATTCTTCTCATCCTTGTCATACTAGCACCCCTCGCACTGCTACTTTAGTAGAGGCTACTCCTACTCTTGGGTCTCCTAATATCCCTAATTTACAAGAGTTACAGACTCATATTTGTCAGCTTCAGGCTCAGCTTAGATCTCTCACTGCTAGTTCTCATAGCCCATCGTATTCCACTACTACCACCCTTGCTACAGGTACTTCTGCTGCTTTCTATGTTCGGTCT